CATGAAATCCGAGATGGACTCCATGTACTCCAACAAGGTGTGGACCTTGGTAGATCAACCTAAGGGAATTGTTCCCATAGGCTAAAAATTTTTATATTTTCTGAAATATTCAAAATATTTAATTAATATTAAACACCCAATTTGATAACACCAAAAATTCAACAATTCAACAAATCGAAGCATGCTTTCGAAAACGATAAACACGTTGACAAATAAACGATTAACCTGTGGCTCTGATACCACTGTTGGGGATCGTGCATGTATACGCAGCGGAATTTAAAATTTTTATATCGAACTAGTTTCGATTACATGCAAAACTAATCATATAGTCAACGTACCTTAACGCTTCCGCCATACATATGGTAATTTTCGATTTAATAGAAAATACGTAAAACCGAAAATCACGAAACATGCTTATTCATCATTTAATGAAATCGAAACATGTAATCACATATTACTCATAATCGTAAATCATAATTCATACAAACATGCTCGAATAAGTTTACGAAAGTTTCGATTCATTTACCTCTTGTAGCGTGCGATTTCGACGAATCGAAATCTCGGAACGAGTCACGTACAAGCTGCTATATACCACTCCTAGGGGCTGCACCTCACGGCTGGACCGAGCTGATCCAGCAAGCAACGAGCGGCGACGAACGGCAGCAGCAGCGGCGGCGCGTGGCAGCGGCAGCGGCGGCGCGTGAGCGGCGGTGCGGCGCGTGCGGTGGTGCACGGATTCGTCGGGGCAGCAGCTCCTCTCCAATTAGGTTTCACCTCGTATTTTCGACCCACTCGAACTATAGCACTAGATATAAACGAGTTAGATAACAACACGAATAAAACGAAGGAGAAAGAGGAGAAAACCGGCGGCGTTTCCGGCGGTGGTCGGCGGTGGCGCGGCGGAGATGCAACGGCCGAGAGGTGTTGAGCGGCTAGGGTTTTTTTTTGTGCTGAAAAATCTGATCTCAAAACTCCTTTTGAGGTCTATTTATACCTAGGGTCTTCAACCCTAGCGGGCTTAAGTCATTGGGCTTGACCCACTGATGCATTAAGCCCATCCCCTTGTCGGCCTCGTTTCTAATAAACGATCGTCCACAAAATTATAACAAAATTATATTTGTGACGAGCTCAAAGTCCTCGTCGATACGAGTGCCTCTTCGAAATTTCCAATTTCCAAAATTGGAAACTTCCACTTCAGTGGACTTGCTAAATCGGGAAACTTCCCAATTTAGAAAGTTCACTAAATTCCGCATGTCTCTCTTTCTCTACGTTTATTCCAATTCGCAATCCACAATTACGAATCTTGGATTCAATCATATCGACATCCAATCGTTCAAAGATTAACACATTAATCTATGCTTGTTGTTATCAAGGATCTATATTACACGAGAAGTGTGACCCTCAATGGTTCAGGTGTATGCTAGCCGTGGGCTCACAACTCTTTGTGATTCGAACAACACATTGTTCTTATACGAACTCCTCCCAAGAGTCCTGATTAGAGTAAAACTCATTTTATCTAATCCCGATCAAATCGGTGCCCAACGAATCAAGATTGGCGTCTAGCAACTACGCATCATGATTCCCTAGATACAAGTGAAGTGCCTGCAAGAACCTTATGATATAGTTAGCGTACAGTACGATCCCTTCGTAGCACATGTCCCGATTGAACTAGAGGCATTGGTTCACCGAGACCTCTTATAAAGTTAATAACCGTGCGAACGTTCTAGGTATTATAAATCCGTTCGTGTGCGACTTAGGGAAACACATTTCCCTAATCACCCCACTATCAACTCTGGCCAGAGATTCCATGGATTATAAACCGTCAGAACACACAGGACATCCATGACTACTCAAGCGCTCGAATCCCCTACTACAATGCACAGACTTCACACTAGATTTCGGATTGCACGAACGTTGGCCCTTGGAGCGGTCCGCGGTGGGACTCAGGGACAGGTCACGATACAATCGGTCCTCTAGTGAAGTCACGGTGATGTCTGGGTCTTAAGGACTAATGGTGTACAACTATATCTTAGAAACCTATTACTCGATGAATGAGAACCACTTATAGATTTCTAGGGCGAGGGAGTTCAGTGAACTCATCCAGTATGAGCACCCACTCAAGTATGCCGATGTCACAACACCGAGGACTGATGAGACGCAGTACACATACACTAAGTGCTAGTCTCAAAAGGGAAAGGCCGGTATCCTCATTATTGGCGTAACCCATCGACTAGGAACAAGGTTTAACAGTTACATTACATTGCTGAGTTATCTCACGATTCTACTAGATCAACTCACAGTAATAGAGTAACTCGTTAGGACTATATCTATGCTGCTTGCATGGGATAACAGATATAGAATGCCAAATAAGATATTTTATTATTACGAACGAAAAACGATTGTTTTATTACAAAGAAAAGAGAAAGACCACAACCACAAGTTGGCTTGCCGGTCACCTACTCTAACAGTACGACTACGAGATATGGCAAATGGATGTGAAGACCGCCTTCCTTAATGGAGATATTGATGAAGAAATTTACATGGCGCAGCCGAAAGGCTTCATATCTTCTGGAAGTGAGCAAAAGGTTTGCAAGCTCCAGCGATCCATTTATGGATTGAAACAAGCATCCCGTAGTTGGAACATTAGGTTCGACTCAACTATCAAAGAGTTTGATTTTGAGAAGAATCCGGAGGAACCTTGTGTATACAAGAAGGTTAGTGGGAGGGCAGTGATATTTTTAGTGCTTTACGTTGATGACATTCTACTCATTGGGAATGACGTAGGAATGTTGCAGCAAACGAAAGCATGGTTGTCCACACGTTTCTCAATGAAGGCTTTGGGAGAAGCATCTTATGTGTTAGGAATACGCATCTATAGAGATAGAGCAAGAAAGATGCTTGGCTTATCCCAAAGCCTGTACATAGACTGCGTTATGAAACGGTTTAGCATGGAAGAATCCAAGAAGGGATTGTTGCCAATATCTCATGGGGTTCGTCTCTCGAAATCTATGTGTTCGCAAACACCTAGTGAAATCGAGGAGATGAAGAGGACGCCTTATGCTTCTGCCATAGGAAGCATAATGTATGGCATGCTATGTACGAGACTCGATATTGCGTATGCTGTGAGTGTCACAAGCAGATATAAGTCTAACCCCGGCCCGGCTCACTGGAAAGCCGTGAAAGATATCCTCAAGTACTTGCGAAGAACTAAGGATATATTTTTGGTCTATGGGGGTGCCAAGTTGAAATTAGAGGTTTTACTGACTCTAGTTTTCAATCGGATGTGGACGACTCAAAGTCGAACTCTGGATTTATATTCACGCTTAACGGTGGTGCCGTGTGTTGGAAGAGTTCCAAGCAAAGCGCGACGGCCGATTCCACTACCGAAGCGGAATACATTGCAGCGTTCGAAGCTGCAAAAGATGGGAATTGGATAAGGATGTTCATCCAAGAGTTGGGTGTCGTTCCTTGTGCTAGTGATCCAGTACCGTTGTACTGTGATAACACTGGAGCCATGGCGCAAGCTAGGGAGACGAGATCTCATCAGAAGTCGAAGCATATTCTGAGAAAGTATCATGTGATCCGAGAGATCATTGATAGAGGTGAAGTTAAAGTAGAATGAGTCACCTCGGAAGAGAACGTTGCAGACCCCTTTACGAAGCCTTTACCGAGATCGGTCCATGAGAAACATCGAGAGTCGATGGGATTGCGATTCGTGGGTAGTTGGCTTTAGGTCAAGTGGGAGATTGTTAGAGTAGGTGACCAACAAGTCAACTTGTGGCTGCGGTCTTTCGTATTTATTATGGTAATAAACGAAGCATAGATATAGTCCTTACAGTTATTACAAGTACTAGTAATTGATCGTTAGGATCGTGAGATATTTACTTAAGTATCATAACTGTTAAACGTGTTCCTAGTCGAAGGGTTACGCCACCAATGAGGATATCGGCCTTTCCCATTAGAAGACTAGCAGTTAGTGTATGTGTACTGCATCTCATCAGTAAACGGTATTGTGATATCGGCATGCATAAGTGGGTGCTCGTAAGTTGACGAGTTCACTGAACTCCCTCACCCTAGAAATCTCTAAGTGGTTCCCAATAATCGAGTAGAGATATCTATGGTATAGTTGTACACCATTAGTCCTTATGACCTAGACATCACCGTGACTTCACTAGAGGACCAGCTGTATCGTGACCTGTCTCTGAGTTCCACCGAGGACCATCCCAAGGGCCAGTGTTCGTGCAGTCGGAAATCTAGTGGGAGGTCTGTGCATTGTAGTCGGGGATCCGATCGCTAGAATAGTCTTGGATGTCCTGTGTGTTCTGATAGTTTGTAATCATTCTAAGTCTCTGGCCAGAGCTGACTAAGTGATGATTAGAGGATTCGATTCTCTAAGTCATGCACGTGACGATTACAATACTTAGAACGATCGCACCGTCATTGATCATATAAAGAGGTCTCGATGAACCAATGCCTCTAGTTCAATCGGGACATATGCATCGTAGGGACCGTACTGTACGTTAACTATATCTGAAGGTTCTTGCAGACACTTCATTTGTATCTAGGGAATCATGACGCGTAGTTGCTAGACGTCAATCTTGATTCGTTGGGTGATTAAGGTGAAACGAGCTTCATCTTAATCGTAACTCTAAGGGACGAGTTTTGACCACAAAGGGTTGTGGGCCCACGGCTATCTTACACCTGAACCATCGAGGGTCACACTGCTCGTGCACATGAGATCTTTGAATAAACGGTCAGAGATAAAATTGTAGCACCTTCAATGATTTAAAAGAAATTCTAGAAAATACGGACTTTATTAAAAACTTTTGGAACAATTTGAACTTTGAGAAAAACCACTTTAAAATTTTAGAACCATTTCCTTTTACTTCAAATCTAACCCACAATCGGAAAATAAGATTTTTCATAGAGAGTGTACCATAACATGAATGGGATTTTGAAAATAATCTCGATGTGGCGGAATAATCCACATAAAACATTATCGGGGTTTAGAAAACACTCGTAAGACAGCGGAAGGAAATAAACTTTATTTAAGATACCCCCGTTTAATAGACTGGGTTCCCAAATCAGAATACAAAATTAAAAATCGATATCTTGGCTAGATATTTTAGAAATCGTTGACGTGATAAAAATCCGGGTTAAACAGTCAAGGCATCAAGGCTAGCGATTCCTCGAACTCCACTCCGCCGGCCTCCTAAAAAGCTTGGAGAACCTGAAAAGATAATTTGCATAAAAGCATGAGCCCAAACACTGGCTCAGTAAGGACATTAGTCTTAGTCTGACGAACTCACGCCTCTCTCATCGTATCACTCATGACCTATGGGAGTCCTAAAGTATTCGTCTATGTCCTTTCCAACTAATTATGTTATGTCTACAAACACGTCACACATATTCAAGCATATAATTACACATATAAGCACATAACATATTTTTCTTGAAATCGAGAGCATTATAACAAAAGTATGGTTTTGTTTCGAAAACTACTTGAAAATCATTCTGGGAATAATTCATGTAAATTAATTCATAATTTACTTGCGAATCCGATTTAGGAAAAAAAGTCCCTTTCTTTTAAAAACATAATTTCTTTTAAAATCTTTTGAAAATCGTTTTTCTTCCAAAATTATTTTTATGCGTAGATGCGTATGACGGGATCCCTATCAAAACCCTAACGTAAGCATCGACAATAGACGTTTTTATACTGAGCCCGGTCTTTGGTGAGAGCTACCCACCCTGCAGTCTATAGTAACTTGTCATTTTGGGATACCGGCCCGCCGTATCCCGTGTCTATTCATCGGAGCAACGTCACTGTTTCGACTCTTCTATACTAGACCATGCAACCATTTAATGACTCGAGAGTGCACGTAATTTAAAGATCTTAATACACCATTCAAATAAACAGTAATAATTTCAAGTACGTCATTCACATAATTTCAAAGGAGTTAAATCACATCACTCGATAATCAAATCATATAAATTGGGAGCAAATTCCGAAACAATAGTAAGCACATATAGATCAAACATTAGTAATAAAGACACATATACTTTTACAGGTTATACACATAGGCACTTATACGTATTTATATACTCATACATATACGTATATACTCTAATTTATAATCTATGGGTTATAAGTTTCCTCAACCCGAGGGGAGTACGCCCATAACATCATAGGTCTAAACTATCGATATACATATATATACTTATATATATATATACATACTTATACCTCATAAGAGTAAAAACATTATTCAAATAATCATCATGAAATTCAATATTTCACATAATTCCTATTCAAGGGACTATAGAAAATCAAATCTCATTAGAAGTACTGGCACATGGAAGGTTTCAAGAACAACGTATCGTTCTAAATATATACTAGTCTTTTTATCTTACATATATCTACTCTAATAATGGTTCTTAGATGTGACATAATAATCTATGTAACTTAATCTATATCTATTACCATGTTAAGTCATGTCTCAAGAGTTTAAACCATGCCCACAAAGGACCCCTTTAATTCTAAATAACTTGTTTTAGGAAAATCTCACAGTTTTGACACTTTAACTTTGAAATTACATTTCTCTTAAACCGAAATTCCAAAAATTCTGAAACTTTAACATGATACTCCTATATCAGTGGAAAAGACTCCTTTAAAACAGTTTTCCAAGAAAACCAATAGCCTAAGAGAAATAAGTAAAATAGTATAGTAGTATGGTCACACTTTCAGAAACAGAACCAACCACTTTAAAAATACTCAATAAATCACCCTTTTGTTAAAACACTGCACACCTTTGTCGAAAACTGGTTTTATAAGTTATAAATATATTCCAAGTGGAATGAAGGAAATCCAAGTAAGAAAACATCGATTTTAGAAGCAAATACTCAGCTGACTCAAAGGCTGTGCAGGTTTAGTAAATAGTTCATATCTTAATCATCTGAAATCCGATTGATGATTAAAATATATCAAATTAAAGAGAACAGGAAGATCTAGTTACCCATGAAATTTCGTGATTTTAAGAAAACAGGGCACCTGTGAACCATGCAGTAAACTCCGAGACTGAAAACCTGAAAATTCATTAGTAATCTATATCTACATCTTTGATCAAAACAGATCTGGCAGTTTAGGCACTATAAGTTCAGAAATTCATATCTCCTAATCCGTAGATCCAAACCTGATGAAATTTGGAACCCATGTTCATATCTAAGTCTAGTTTATAGGGTTAAAACAGTTTATGAAGAAACTCACCTATGTAAGAGATATAATCAATTTAATGCAGTAACATAAGCAGAAATTAAGAACAGATCCACTAACTTTAAAAATACCAAATAATTCATCACTTAATCCAAAAATTACCAAATTTCGTAGAATATTAGTTTCGTAAGTACATAATCATCGTCGAGTGAAATCACTTCAATAAGAGTAGTATAAAAAGCTATTTAACACATAATTCGTGGATGACTCCGAAACTGTGCAGATTCAGAAAACGATTCATAACTCACTCAATACAAATCCGATTTATGAATAATTTATATCCACTCGAAGCTAACTGAAAGATCTAGACTACCATAAAATTTCATAATTTTATCTTAGGGATTACCCTGATGAGACATGCAATACTATCAGAAGCTACGAAACTGAAATTCAAGTAGTGTTCATCAAGAACTTTATCTTCTAAAGCCCAAAATTAAACCACATACATATAATTCATTAAAACCCATATAATTTATATTAATTAGGTTGTTATTTCAGTAAAGACAAACGTCCTTACCCAAGAGCAAGAAATCGAAGATGAAGGAGTAAGAAAACCAAAGGCTCGGTGGATTTTCGGCCTACAAATCTTGGGGTTTGGCTTGGGTGTTTTGGGGCTGAGTTTGGAGGATGTGAAGGGGCTGTTTCTTGAAGAAAGAAGATGGAGTTTCTCTTTTCGAGAGGAGAGGAGAGGAGATGAATTGAAGAGAGAAGAGGAAGGGGCTTTGAGAGGAGCTTCTTGAAGTGCAAGAAGAGAATTCTTCTTGGGGGCTTTTGGTCGATGAAGAGGGAGAGGGAGAGGGCCTTCTTTTGGCTGATGTTTGGTGTGAAGAGAATGTGAAGAGGAGGGGTTTATTTATAGGGGAGATGAGGCCCTTATTTGCAATATAAAAGACATTGGGGTTTTATTAGCAATTTGGGAGAAAAATACCTTGGGGGCTCCTTAGCAATATAGAAGAGAAGAGGGGAGTCTTTAATAATTAATACACTTGGGGAAAAATTCACACACACAAAACATACGGTCACATAACTATTAATTATTAGCATTAACCCATATAATTCACATAAATTCCATATGAGGCCAAATAGAAATTAGTTATCATGTCACAACTTATTAAATCTCATATTATCCTAATAGATTAATTATCAACTAAAGCACATCATTAAAATCCATGGAGTAAAGCACATAATTCATTAAATCACATAATTAGAATCAACTACTCAATTAATAATAATGCCTACTTCTAAAAATACTATAATGTATCTAAATCACATAAACACATAGAGAACGTATAAACTGCTACTCGATTCATGAAATGCACGTATATTCGTATTTACTGTATGTTTAATATAATCATATATAAATGCTTATGAAAATGCGGGATGTTACAATCTTCCCCCCTTAAATAAATTTTGTCCTCAAAATTTGAAAAGTTCCCCATAAAAGACGATGAGACCAAGTTACAAAATAACGTTTCTTGAATAGGGGATTAACAATAATTTGGAAAACGTCTTCCTACCTTTTCAAAAGTTCGCCTTGATTCCAAAATATTTTGTAAATAAATAGGAAACATGTTTCTTGTAAAAATTCCGGTAAGAGTTTTAGCACGACTATGATAGCTTTTAGGGAAAATAGTAACCGAGTGGAGTTGAAAATTCTAATTTTCATAAAAACAAAACTCAATTTTGAAAAAAAAATTTCTCTTACCTTCTTTTGAAATGTTTTGAACCCCTCTGGGCCGTATGATATGAATGCATTGTATGATATGCAACACTGATCTTATCTAGTCTTATATGCACATAAGGTTGGCATGAACAAATAGTATCGTAAACCCATAAACACCTAACATGATATGCATGATATACATGATATACTTTAAGCGAATAAATCCATTCATACTACGAACTAAAACAAGTTCTAAACATGTTAGTTGTAAATTTGCAGATAATCACATAGATTTGCACAAACATAAATCAGAAAATAAATTCACTACCAACATCAAAGTTATACATTTCTAGAAAACTCATTTCCTATAAAACAAAAGTTTGCATGCATTTTTTTTTTTTTTTTTTTTGAAAATATGCAAATAAATTTAGTACACTTTGCATGTATTTCGTGAATGCACCATTAATAATGCACATAAGTTTCACACAAGATACATATCATGGCATCGCATATATCTGTTGGTCAGCCAACTTGTGGCTGTGGTCTTTCCTTTTATCTTGTAATAAAACAATCGTTTTTTCGTTCGTAATAATAAAATATCTTATTTGGCATTCTATATCTGTTATCCCATGAAGGCAGCATAGATATAGTCCTAACGAGTTACTCTATTACTGTGAGTTGATCTAGTAGAATCGTGAGATAACTCAGCAATGTAATGTAACTGTTAAACCTTGTTCCTAGTCGATGGGTTACGCCAATAATGAGGATACCGGCCTTTCCCTTTTGAGACTAGCACTTAGTGTATGTGTACTGCGTCTCATCAGTCCTCGGTGTTGTGACATCGGCATACTTGAGTGGGTGCTCATACTGGATGAGTTCACTGAACTCCCTCGCCCTAGAAATCTATAAGTGGTTCTCATTCATCGAGTAATAGGTTTCTAAGATATAGTTGTACACCATTAGTCCTTAAGACCCAGACATCACCGTGACTTCACTAGAGGACCGATTGTATCGTGACCTGTCCCTGAGTCCCACCGCGGACCACTCCAAGGGCCAACGTTCGTGCAATCCGAAATCTAGTGTGAAGTCTGTGCATTGTAGTAGGGGATTCGAGCGCTTGAGTAGTCATGGATGTCCTGTGTGTTCTGACGGTTTATAATCCATGGAATCTCTGGCCAGAGTTGATAGTGGGGTGATTAGGGAAATGTGTTTCCCTAAGTCGCACACGAACGGATTTATAATACCTAGAACGTTCGCACGGTTATTGAACTTTATAAGAGGTCTCGGTGAACCAATGCCTCTAGTTCAATCGGGACATGTGCTACGAAGGGATCGTACTGTACGCTAACTATATCATAAGGTTCTTGCAGGCACTTCATTTGTATCTAGGGAATCATGATGCGTAGTTGCTAGACGCCAATCTTGATTCGTTGGGCACCGATTTGATCGGGGATTAGGTAAAATGAGTTTTACTCTAATCGGGACTCTTGGGAGGAGTTCGTATAAGAACAATGTGTTGTTCGAATCACAAAGAGTTGTGAGCCCACGGCTAGCATACACCTGAACCATTGAGGGTCACACTTCTCGTGTAATATAGATCCTTGATAACAACAAGCATAGATTAATGTGTTAATCTTTGAACGATTGGATGTCGATATGATTGAATCCAAGATTCGTAATTGTGAATTGCGAATTGGAATAAACGTGGAGAAAGAGAGAAATGCGGAATTTAGTGAACTCTCTAAATTGGGAAGTTTCCCGATTTAGCAAGTCCACTGAAGTGGAAGTTTCCAATTTTGGAAATTGGAAATTTCGAAGAGGCACTCGTATCGACGAGGACTTTGAGCTCGTCACAAATATAATTTTGTTATAATTTTGTGAACGATCGTTTATTAGAAACGAGGCCGACGAGGGAATGGGTTTAATGCATCAATGACTTAAGCCCGCTAGGGTTGAAAACCCTAGGTATAAATAGACCTCAAACAAGAGTTTGAGATCAGATTTTCAGCACCAAACCCTAGCCGCTCAAGCCCTAGCCGCTCCCCTCTTCGGCCGTTGCTCCACCGTTGCTCCACCGGCGCGCCACCGCCGACCACCGCCGGAAAACCGCCGGTTTTCTTCTCTCGTTTCCTTGTTGTTATCTAACTCGTTTACATCTAGTGCTGTAGTTCGAGTGGGTCGAAAATACGAGGTGAAACCTAATTGGAGAGGAATTGGAGAGGAGCTGCTGCCCCGACGAATCCACGCACCGCCGCACGCGCCGATACGCCGCTCACGCGCCGCCGCGCTGCCGCTGCTGCTGCCGTTCACCGCCGTTCGTCGCTTGCGGGAGTAGCTTGGTCCAGCCGTGAGTTGCAGCCCCGAGGATTGGTAATTTGCAGCTTGTACGTGTTTGAGTTTTGGATTTCGATTCGTCGAAATCTCACGCTACAAGAGGTAATTAAATCGGAACTTTCGTAATTCGATTCGAACATGTTTGTATGATTTTTAATTTACGAGCATGAGTAATATGTGATTACGTGTTTCGATTTTATTGAATGATGAATAAGCATGTTTCGTGATTTTCGGTTTTACGTATTTTTAATTAAATCGATAATTACCATATGTATGGCGGAAGCGTTAAGGTACGTTGACTATGTGATTAGTTTTGCATGTAATCGAAACTAGTTCGATAAAAAAATTTAAATTCCGCTGCGTATACATGCACGATCCCCAACAGTGGTATCAGAGCCACGGGTTAATCGTTTATTTGTCAACGTGTTTATCGTTTTCGAAAGCATGCTTCGATTTGTTGAATTGTTGAATTATTGGTGTTATCTAATTGGGTGTTTTAATATTAATTAAATATTTTGAATATTTCAGAAAATATAAAAATTTTAATTTTGAAAATTCGATTTTTGCTGCTGTTTTTCAGCTGACCGAACCGGTCCGGTCTGACCGGTCCGGTCGGCAAAAAAAAAAAAAAAAAAAAATTTAATTTGATTTTCTGAAATTAATATTAAAAATTAATTGATTTTTAATTTTTGAAATTATTTATCAATTAAACCCAAATTAGATAATTGATCCATTAATTTAATTTGAATTCAAAGAATAGTGTTGGATTAATTATTTAATTTAATCGTTAAATTAGTTTAATTAATGGAACACAAATTAGATAGCAAATAATTAATGGACTTCATTCTTATTTGATTGATTTATGAATGAAGGGAGTCCGTTAATTATATTTGCAATTAATCGTATTAATTAATTAATTCATGAGATGAATAATTGTGATTAAGTACGATGATGATCGTATGTCTCTCTTAGGATCAATATGCGTTTCCACATACCTAGAGAACATAGTTGTAGGAATCACAAACGATCATAACCTAAAACTTCCGATGAGCTAATAAAATTTAATAAATAAAATCCCTCATTCTTAATTAAGAATAATTATCAAGCTATAAAGAAAAACCAAATTGTTGAATTTTTCTTTCCTTCTACCAACTATTAAATTATGTGTAGCCCCTCATAATAGTGCAGTAAGCCGTGTTAGCGGGGAGTGCTATTGTGGGATAAGCTGTAATTTAATTGACATTAGATGGAGATACGGTCATAGATAAAATTATGTTAGATTAATGTGGTCGGCTAGATTAACTAGGGATTGCATTAGTTTGATATAGTTGGATCTATGACATCTCATATTGGTAGGCTAGACTTGACACACGGAGATTTTGATATTCGCTAGATTAACTTAGGTCATTATCAAGTGTGAGGTAAATCGATCTTTAGGGTCACATAGTGATGTGATTGATAGTACTCTACCTTTAGGCTTATGTAATCGGGATAGATTAACTACGGGTTACATTAGCGCTATTGGACCTAAAGCCCATTAAAGAAAAATAAGTTTTCTCGATTGTCTGCTAGAGGGTGGTGGAATTCGATAAAATTAGTGGGAGAACAATTAAAACATAAAAGTCCAAAATTTTAATTGTAACGATTATTACGAACCAAACTC